TTTTTTCCTTTGTTTATAATTTTAATTTCAAAGTAAAATATCCCACATTCTGAAGGGATTGGATTATTTGCTCGAACAATTGCAGCTTTATAGTCATCAGGATCTTTAATTAAAAAGTTTTTAATAAATTAAATAGCTATGGGATATTCTTTTAAATGCCGATGATTATCGTAACACATTAAATATGTTTCCGCGAGATTTCTCATTTTCATATTACCTGTATAACTCACTTTAAGTCCATTTGAATCTATGTCAATAAATGTATACAATACTGGGCAAAAATTGTTGAATAACGGTAATTTGCCCGTTTGAGCCAAATTACCGTTATTCAACAATTTTTGCTCAGTATTGTATACTTATCTTCAATATCCCATGCAGTCGGTAAAACAATATCATTGTACGAAGTTATTGATTTTAAATCTCCCATTGCTGTAGGTTAAAGTTCAATTCAGACTTTTATTTACGAAAGGTGAACATACAAAAGTAATTTATAGAAATATTAACGAACACAATGTACTATTTATGTATGCGTGTTTGTATTCTGTACCACTGAAATATATTCGTAACTGTTAATTCTTTTTTAAAGTCTGCGAATAAGTGGAATAGACGATCAATTATATCAATTATGCGGATAGCTTAGAGTAAGGATTTGGCTTTGTTTAATATATAGTTATTGAATGCGAAGCAGAAAATAAGTAATAGTTTTCGACCGCTCATTAACAACGAAGCTCCACAATGTCATGTGAACGTGATGAAATGATGTTGGATTAAAGATCCAGAAAAATGGTTAGCAAAAGGACTCTGAAGTTTTAAAAAATGACGAGATTATCAAATTTTAACGGAACTAAAAATACTTAAGCATATCAAAAACTTTGACATAAATGCAAACAACGGTAACAAACTAATTAGTTATACGCATGATCAAAATCAAATCTCATTTTATCTCTGAACTGTGATCAATATTTTATAATCAATCCTTAATATCATATCTAGTTAAAAATAAGAATAAAGCGAAAATTAGCCTCTTTACATTTTCTAAATGAAATTTAATACCATTTAGCCATTATCAAGAAACTATATTAAAATACGCAAAAGAAAATCCTCTAAGCAATGATTGAGTTCGAACGTGTCTTGGAAGCGAATTCAGTTTAGGTCTTTAAATATGTTATGACAACTCAATCTATATTCAATAAAATAGATAAATTAAATATTAACATTAAGCTTATGTAGATAATAACGTGAGTGCCAACCAATCAAATTTCAAGTTTGATTTCGTCGAAGCGCCATTTTCAAAGTAAGAAACATAGATAGTATAAAAATAAAATATAGATCATATGTGCTGCAGCTTGCAGATCCCTTAATTATTATCCTGAAAATTTTCTTGACCGATAATAGTGATACAAACGGCTTGAGCTGAGCCGCGAACCAAACGGCTAAGCCGAGCCGATCATCGGCTCGGCTCCAGGTCTACTAATGAAGCATTGGCTCTAAAAACGGCTTAGCTTGAGACTTTGAAACCGAATATGGAACTGCGAGCTGATAGACCTATATCACTAATCACCTGTAAGTTTAAGCTTCGTTTAAAAATAAAACAACCCGTTTTTATTGTTATTTATTAGTTATGTGTTAAATGCTAGAAACAGTCAACTAAAAAGGTTGATAATGATCTTATCTTGCGTTTATATAGATCAATCGGACGAAGCATGAACCTGAATCTAAAAAAAAAAAATGTCTATTTGACTACTTTCTAAAATCTATTTCAAGATTAGAGGTTGAGTACCTGAATTTTTATCTTTCACATTCGAGGCCAACCTTATTGGATCTTATCTTTAGCTTCTTATAAACTATAAAAAATTTGAATAAAGTTTAAAGATGTTAAAATTAATTATGTAAGAGCTTCGAGGTAATAGAATTTATATCCGACTTGATGCATTTTAATTTCGTGCACCTTATGTTTATAGTAACGGCTCGGCTCGGCTTGACTCATAAATGGGAATGGACTAGGAAGACCTGCCTTCGACAGCTAATGCCGAAGGCAGGTTTTCCTAATCCATTCCCCAAATGGCTCGCCCTGGATTTAGAGTTTATAGATCAGCTCGGCTTGATTAGTGAGCTGAGCTAAGCCAGCCGTTTGCATCACTAACTATATGCAGTATATATGTTCGTAAGTGAGAGCAGGGTTGAGATTTTTAGTATAATTATTTTGTTCTAATATAGGTGGATTCCGAACCTATTATGATTCCATTTCACTTACAACTTATACACTGGTGGTTATAATAACTGAGCTAATTTTAAAAAATCGAAAATTTTCAAATAAAGATTCTGAATTAGCATGATCAAAATGGTATAAAATAATTTCCTTCACATAATTATAATGCATCAATCTTTAAGGACGTATTACATCAACAAAAGATCTTGTTTTAGCAGAATTAGGAGATAAAATAATTGTCTACTTTCAAAAACGTGGTCTTTATAAAAAGGCGAACGTTCTTTGCATCGCTTGATTATAGAAACATCAGCAACTTTGTTAAAGCAAGTATATGTTTTGATCAAGACTTAAAAGAAAAAATTTGAAATGCAAATTTATCAATTTTTTTAATCAACAAATCATAAAAAAACAAAAATAACAAGGTTTTGAAAAAATTAAAGTTTAATGTTTTTATATAAATTTTTTTTTTTTTTTTTTAGTTATTTAAACTTGTAAACCATTTTTTAGGTTATATTTTACATGATTGATAATTGAATCTACTGTAAGTCAATAAAATGGAAATTTTAAAATGCTTACTCAGGGAAAATCGAATTGCTCAAACCCGCCAATTTTTAATAATAATAATAATATTTTTTGGTGCTTAAATAGAAAGTGCTACAGTATATGTACAATTTCTACCTCTATCTGTTAGCATCACATAGTAGTTATCTAATGAAAATAATTAAGATTAAGTATTATAAAAAAAATAACTAATATATTTTAATTTTGATGCCAAATTGGTAATAAGATTTGATTGGTAGATCGATCACTCGATAAAATGTCCATAGAAGTTTGTGACTTGGTTAAAAAAAAGTCGCGCGTCTGGAAAATCTACCCTAACTTGGATGTTTTTGTACTTCGATCCTTAAACCAACGATTTCATCATTATTTCTTCTTTCATGATGCCACCTATCTTCAGGCTTTGTATCTTGATCACGCTCACGCGTAAATAATGGTTTAAGATATTTATCATCAAATGATATAAACCAATGAGCATTAGAATTATTAATATTTTCAGTATCAGATGATGCAATTGATCCTTGTGAGTTCGTTAGTACGTGATTATAATCATTATATTCACTATAACCTTCATCATCACTATCAATTTCTCCTTCGTCCACTCCTGTCTCTATTTTAAGAATTTCTAACATTCTACTTGTTGTACCACCAAATACGATAACACTAAGTACCACTACTACTAAAATAGTTGTGCTCATAGCGTTAGCATTGGGTCCTTTGAGACCAGATGCTAATGCAAACGCCACAGCACCCCGTAAACCTTTAAAAGAGGAATAATTAATGTCTTATTTAAAATTTAAACGATATTATTATTAAAGTATTTCTGCATATATAGAAAATTGGGGAAATACTTTATGAATAATGTAGAATATAAATTATTAAATTTTAACACATACCACTCCAAAAGAGCATTATAGAATGTTTACTTGGAAGTATTTCTGACCGTTTACGATAACGCGCAATAGCATTTAACAAATTTGAAAGTGGAAACACGGCACAGTATCGAGATACGCATATAAAGATCTATGTTTTTTTTTAACAAGTAATATTATTATTAAAATAATGATATATAGAAAAATGCAGTGCATATAAAATTTTCATTAAATTTTCACTCACCGCAGTGAAAAATATAAAGAATGGCTTGAAATCAAGAGTCGGTTTAGTAAATAAAGTTAATCCAAGATAGATAAATATGAAATTTTCCGATAATTGGGCCAAAACGCGAAACATATATTTTGTAGTTCGTTTGGTCATTAAAGACATATTATCATACGCGTAGTGCTTAAGCGTAATACCACAGAATAGAAGAGACACGATTCCTATAATGAACCATTATGATTATTAAGATCAATTTAAAAAATATTAATACGAAATTTGAGCAAAATATGAATATATACCAGACAAATGACAGCCATTAGAGAACAAGTATGAAGCATATGCCATCAATGCGACGATACATGATTCAATTGGTGGAAACTTGTATAATTTTGAATACTTCAACATGTAAACGTGTCAATTAAGGAATTAATAAAAATAAATGTAGGTATGTAAAATCATGAAATACAAAATATTATAAAGGATATCAAAGCGCTCAAAACTCCAAATAGAACGCCAAAGAATAAGGAGGCTCCAAAGTTGACGAAAAAAGAAAGAACACCGTGAGAAATGTTTGCCAAATGAAAATCTTCACCACGGTATTGTTTCAGAGTTCTTGTAAAAAGAAAAAAAAAAAAAGATATATATAAATTGTTTACGAAAAAAAAAACACAAAATTGATTTATATAGTTTGTGCTTACTCATAAAGTACGATAGCCGTAGCATCGTTCAATATACTTTCACCAAAAATGATCGCATACAACTGCGGATCAACTTTCAAAGTTTGAAATATTGTAAGTACAGTCACAGGATCAGTTGCTGAGAGTACTGAGCCAAAAATCATGGAATCAAGCAAGCTAAGAGATAAAGAATCTATCCCGGTCAAAGCTAATATCGCCGTTAAAATGCTATAATGATTTTAATAAATACATTTTTCAGTAAAGAAGCTCCTCATAAAAGAAAAAAATAAATATTTGGTTATTTAAATACAATGATAAATACCCTATTACAACGGCGGAGATAAAAGTACCTAGAAGTGCAAAGGTTAAGATGGCCCCCAAATTTTTGAAAAATTTCTCCTGATAAATTAAATCAGTAAAACATGTTTAGTCTTTTAAATAATTACAATTTTAAAAATTAATCAAAATTACCTTTTTCATTTCATATCCCGAATTTAAAATGATCGGAGGCAATAGAAGATTAAAGAAATAAGAGTATTTGAAGGAGACCATCGCTTGGATTATGTAGCCAGGAGAAAGTCGAATAATTAATCCAACAAACATTCCTATTAACAAGATAAATTAAAATCATTAATAATAAATTAAAATTACATTATATTAAAGTTAATCATACCGGCAAATACTGATAAAACCGTCTCATGGATAGAACGAATTTGTTTTATTTGTAAATAATAACTTGCCCATAATGCAAGAATTAACAAAACAGTTTGGATCAATAAAGCCCAGCTAGAATAGAGCTCTTCTTCTTCAACCGGAGCTTCATGTAGTAGTGAAGGTGAAAAAGACATAATTCTAATACTTTAAAGTTCGAAATACGAAGTTTGTAAATTACGTATTTATGTTGCAATGACCAAATTCACGTGCCAATCGTGTAGCGCGGTACAGAATCATTAAGAATTACACAAAACATTAACGTTAATATACGAGGAAAGCGATTACAACCAACTTAAAGAAATATTTCACACCTGATAATGCAGACCTTGAACGAGATCTATGTAGGGTAAAATGAGGAGATCAGTATGAACCGTTCTTTAATATATAAAAATAAAATTTTTAATTGAATATTTACGAATAGAAGTTCTTGGGAGTCGAGCTTTAGGCTGCCTGATTCCTAAGAAGCAAGAACATAAGTACATAAATACGTTTTTACGTTTTTTTTTCACATAACTAGTTATTTTTTTGAGAAATAGAATATAATAATAATCAAATCTCGTAAAACTTTATACTTTACTTTTACGTAAAAGAAGTCGTAAAAAGGAATTCACCACTGTCTCAATGCTGCAATGCAGAATTTATGATAAAACGATAAAACTTAATTATAATGCAATTATGCTATATTGTTAAATAAGTGGCTTTTTTCTTGAATCAATTCATTTTCATGATTCGTCACGGGAATGCAAGGCTATGCGCATTAGAATTACAGGTTTGTCCGAAATAGAATATCTCCTGGTCATGCAAATATCAATGAACATATGTAAGGTGTAACTACCCGATCCTTCTGGTCACCTCATAGAATTTTATCGCTATAGTAAGTTTGTTTATTAAATACTAAGCCAAAATGGCATGCCTAAACTGACTTTGACATGCCAGGCTTTAATTGTAAGCCGATTAGGGTCATATACTGTATATATATAAAAATATTCGGTGTACAAATAGTTTAGATCAATCTTTTTTATATCGATATCGAAGTGACGTGTAAAAATTGCTATAACTAGTAAGTAGAAATTATGTAAAGGTCCAAAATTGAGAAAAATGATCTACAACCAATCGCTAAGTCCCGTCAAAAATTCTAAAAAATTCTAAATTTCGTAATTTGTACACTCACTGCACACATGGGTCCCGAAAGGATCCAGAAATATACCTCCGGATTGAAAGTTATTGATGC